ACACACATTTTGTATTTCATTCTTGAATTATTTTTTGTAATAAAATTATATTGAAATAATCTTTAAAGTTTTAAATTTATTTTGCATTTAATTTGAACCACACGCGATTTCTACATTGAAATTTCTGTTGACAAAATAATTATGTATGAGTTTTATAAACAAGTTATTTTATTTCAGATTAATATGCCTCCAAAACGAGCGAATATTGGTCGAAAAAGCCGAAAAGTAGTAGCCAATGCAGCTAGAAGAACAAGAGAAACAGATGAAGAGCGTGCAAATCGGTTGGAATCCCAACGCGAATATCGATCTAGATCACGTTCTAACCGTTCAGCGTTGCGTGATCAAGCTGAGCAGAATGTTCAAGATCAAGAAGAAATGCGGCGCAATTCAAATGCACGTAAAAAACTGGATCGTATAGCATTCAATTATCAATGCACTGATGATTTTTCAACTCATCCTTTTGTTGTAATAGGAACAATGAGTTACGTATGCGAACATTGTTGCGCATTTAAGTTCAAGAATGAAACTGATGGATTATGTTGTTTAAAAGGACGAGTTAAAATTGAATCCTACGATGATATTCCTGTTTTACTGCGTGAACTGTTATCTGGTAACACGCCGGATTCAAAACATTTTTTGGACAAGATTCAAACGTACAATAATATGTTTCAAATGACTTCTTTTGGAGCAAGTCGTATTGTTCGTGATAATTTCATGCCAACCTTCAAGGTAATTACTTCGCATGAACTAATGACTTGCTATTATGATTCCAAAAAGAAAGAGATAATAACTGCTAATTTTTTAATTGACCATCAGATTCAAGGTCAAATTTATCATCGTATTGGTGCGTTGCTCCCAAATCCAGATGCTGATTATGAATTTTTGCAAATATACTTCATCGGCAATTCAGATCAAGAAGTGGATCGACGTTGTGAAATTGCTCCATCTACAAGAAGAAATATTGTTGAGCAATTACAGGAGTTATTACACAAAGAAAATCAATTGGTGAATGTTTTCAAAATGAGTTTGGAAAAATTAACAGCTGATAACGAAAGGATTGCTATCAGTGCCAATCATACGCCTGCCGGTCAACACCCTGGACGATTTAATGCACCAACCATTGATGAAGTAGCAATTCTTGTTGTTGGAGATGGAGCAAATCCCCGTGACATTGTACTTCATCGCAGAAATAATAATGAATTGCAACGTGTAAATGAACTTCATCGATCATATGATGCGTTGCAGTATCCACTGTTATTTTGGAGAGGCGAAGATCAATATGATATCACGTTGAAAATGAAAGATCCAATGACTGGTATGTATTAGTTAAAGTATTTTGTTAAATTGATATTTTAACTAAAATAATTTAAGCAAAATCTGATAACTGTTTTGTTTGTGCTGTTTTCACAGGTGCATTAACAACTAAAAATCTCAGCGCTATGAATTATTACGCATACAAATTTATGATTCGTCAAAATGATTTCAATTACATATTGAAGACGAAAAAGTTATTTCATCAGTATGCGGTAGATATGTATGCAAAAATTGAATTGGAACGTTTGAATTATATTCGGTTCCATCAGCAAAGTTTACGTTCCGAAGAGTACATTCATTTGCGAGATGAAATAAACAATGATGGCAATCCCGAAGATGTCGGTCAACGTTTTATATTACCATCTACTTTCACTGGGAGTCCACGCCACATGCATGAATACGCACAAGATGCAATGTGTTATGTTCGTAATTATCAGAGACCTGATTTGTTCATCACATTCACCTGTAATCCGCATTGGGATGAAATAAAGGAACATTTATTCGCTCATCAATCGAACACCGATCGTCATGACATAATTGCCAGAATATTTAAACAAAAATTGAAAAAGCTTATGGATTTTATTGTTAAGCATAAAGTGTTTGGTAATGTTCGTTGTTGGATGTACTCGATTGAGTGGCAGAAGAGAGGATTGCCACATGCGCATATACTAATATGGTTAGTTGACAAAATAAGACCAGATGATGTTGATGATATCATATCTGCTGAAATTCCCGATAAGAATACTGATCCATCTCTCTATGATGTTGTTACGAAAAATATGGTTCATGGTCCATGTGGTACAATAAATCCGAATTGTCCGTGCATGATTGATGGGAAATGTACCAAACGATATCCAAGAGCATTGATTACTGAAAGTGTAACCGGAATCGATGGATATCCACTTTATCGCCGTCGTTCACCTGAAAATGACGGGAACGTTGCATCTTTGCGTATCCAGAATCGTGATTTGGATATTGATAATAGAAGGATTGTGCCCTATTCACCACTATTATCGAAAACATTCAATGCACATATTAACGTTGAATACTGCAATTCCGTTAAATCGATCAAATACATATGCAAATATGTAAACAAAGGAAGTGATATGGCCATGTTTTCAATAAGCGATAAAAACCGACTTGATCAAAACAAAAATGATGAAATCATTCAATATCAACTTGGTCGCTACATCAGCACCAATGAAGCGTTGTGGCGAATATTTTCATTCAATATTCATGAACGATATCCAACTGTTCAACATTTGGCTGTGCATCTTGAAAATGGGCAACGTGTGTATTTTACTCCTGAAAATGCAAGAGCACGAGTTGATTCACCACCAGCTACAACGTTAACCGCATTTTTCAAATTATGCGAAACCGATGAATTTGCCAAGACATTGCTGTACTCTGAAGTGCCACAGTATTACACTTGGCAATCGAATAAAACGTTCCAACGCCGCGTTCGAGGGCAGTCAGTGCAAGGTCATACAGGCATATTCAAATCGGACGCATTAGGACGAGTTTACGCAATTCACCCGAGAAGCGACGAATGTTTTTTTTTTGCGATTACTTTTGGTGAACGTTTGTGGTCCAACGTCCTTCGAGTATTTGCGAACAGTCGATGGAGAAATATGCCCAACTTATCGAAGTGCTTGCCAGAAGTTGAATTTATTGGAAAACGATTCGCATTGGGATGACACGCTTACTGATGCATCAAATACATGTTCTCCATATCAAATAAGAGATTTATTCGCAATAATAATCGCAACATGTCATCCAGCTGATCCCAATGCATTGTGGAATAAATTTTGTGACTATATGACCGAGGACATATTGAATGAAGTGCGTCGTTTGAGAGGTGACATGCAATTAGAATATACAGCAGAAATGTACAATGAGGCATTGATTAAAATTGAAGATATTTGCTTGATGATCGCAAGTAAAACGGTGAATCAATGTGGTCTGATTGCTCCAAACAGAAGCATGCATGATGCATTCAATCAAGAACTTCAACGTGAACGACAATACAATATCATTGATTTGAAAGCTTATGTTGAAGAAAACACACCAAAATTGAATGCTAAGCAGCGAAGTGTATATAATGAAATCATGAATTCTGTTAATAATAAAAGCGGTGGATTTTATTTTTTGGACGCACCAGGTGGCACTGGAAAGACATTTTTATTGTCTTTATTGTTAGCCAAAATACGATCACAGCAAAAAATAGCATTAGCACTTGCTTCGTCTGGAATTGCTGCAACTCTATTGGATGGTGGTCGGACAGCACATTCTGCATTGAAATTACCGCTGAACATTCACATTCAAGAACATCCAATATGCGGTGTTAAAAAAAGATCTGCAATGGGAAAAGTTTTGGAACAGTGCGATATCATTATGTGGGACGAATGCACAATGGCGCATAAAAAATCTTTGCGAGCTTTGGATATGACGTTGAGAGATATCCGCAAAAACGATGATTTATTCGGAGGTGCATTGATATTATTGGCTGGTGACTTCAGACAAACGCTGCCTGTTATTCCACGATCAACACCAGCTGATGAGTTAAATGCGTGTTTGAAAATATCACCGCTATGGAAGTGGGCAAAAATATTACGTCTCACCGAAAATGTTCGAGTTCAGCTGCAACATGATCCATCAGCTGCTGTATTTTCAAAGCAATTGTTAGATATTGGAAATGGAACAATGGCAGCTGATACTACAACTGGATTGATTACATTTCCCGAAAATTTTTGTCGTATTACTCAAGACAAAGATGAATTAATCCAAAAGGTGTTCCCGGATATCGTTCACAATTATGTGAATTTCGATTGGTTGAGTGAAAGAGCCATATTGGCTGGAACCAATAAAGAAGTCACCGAACTCAATTGGAATATTCAAAGTAAAATTCCTGGTGATGTGATTTCATACAAGTCAATCGATACAGTTACAGAAGAAGATGATGTGGTGCACTATACAACTGAATTTTTGAATTCATTAGATGTGCCTGGGCTGCCACCACACAATTTGCGGTTAAAAGTTGGTGTCCCAATAATTATGCTTCGTAATATGAGCCAACCGAAGCTGTGCAATGGAACACGTTTAGCCGTAAAAAAATTAATGAATAATTTAATCGAAGCAACTATATTGAAAGGAAAATTCAAGGGTGAAAATGTGTTAATACCACGAATTCCAATGATTCCAACTGATATGCCATTTAGTTTTAAACGGTTGCAATTTCCAATTCGAATTGCATTTGCAATAACAATTAATAAATCCCAAGGCCAATCAATGGAAGTTTGTGGTATTAACTTGGAATATCCCGTTTTTTCCCACGGTCAATTATACGTTGCCTGTTCACGTGTTGGTAAACCGCACGCATTATATATTTATGCCAAAGATGGACAAACCAAAAATATTGTGTATCGTAAGGCATTAAATTAAGGAAATCAATAAAAATAGACTAAATATATTTGCTGAGTTTGAAATTATTATTTTTTTGATTGAATTTTGCGTCCAGGGGCCTGCTAGTGATATATAAAACATTTTATGACATTTTTATGTCAAAATTTGAGAATATTGCTTTTCCGCAAACTTTGTTTGTTAAGGAAAAAAATTGGTTGCACTACCCGAAATTTCATGACACCTTCTCATACGGACCACTATAAAGT